TGCAGTTAGGAGTGCCTGCTGCTCCTACAGAGGACTGACTGTGGCAGCTCCAGGGACATCTCTAAAATCTTTGTCTCCTAAGTGTTTTTGCATGGTGCCTGCTTGGCATGTGAACTAGGACTGGTTTCTCAAGGTAAACAAGTGTAACCCTAAGGGTTTCGCATATGTAATTTGTTATATGCTTGTGATTTTTATGTATCTTAACATTCCTGCTGGAGAGAATGGGTTGTAGCAGTTGTGGTGTTGACCAGCTGGAGGCGAATTAAAATGGGTGGTGTGGAGAAAGGCAAGAAGATTTTTGTTCAGAAGTGTGCCCAGTGCCCACTGTGGAAGGGAGGCAAGCGTGAGGCTGAGCCAGATCTCCAGGTCTCTTTGGGCAGAAGACAGACAAGTCAGGTCACTGTATTCTCTTGCACAGACACCAACAAGAGCAAAGGCATCATTTGGTGGCAATCCCATGGTAATATATTGTTTATGATTTATTAAAGCCACTGGAGATCAGAAAAGCAAAGCAGCCAAGCCACTAGCTCTCACCTCTACCTCAGACTGAAAGGGCTGATCCTGTTTCCATGAGCTGTCACCGAGCCTGCCTTCTGCCTCTCCTCAGTGTGGCTGGAGAATAAATGCCAGCTCTGAGACCCTGTTCCTGTCTTAAATACTTTGTCTTTTTGTATTCGAAAAAAAGGGGAATTGTGTTGCCTGAGGATTCAGAAAGCAAAGTCAGCCACAATCTATAGAGCTCAGGCAGTGGTGGTACATACCTTTAATCCCAGGACTCAGGATTAAAAGGTGGATGGATCTCTGTTAGTTCAAGACCACACTCACTACACGAAATTGATCCAGTCCTAAAAGAAACAACTCGCACAAAGGTGATCTCAGCATCTGGGATCACACGCCTTCAATCCCAGCACTAGGGAGGTAGAGACAGGAGGATATGGCTAGGTGGAGAAAGGAATATTTGGAGGAGAAGACAGAATCTGAGATCTTTTGCCTCTGAGGATTGTTGGAGACAGGATTGCCATTTCATATGGGTACAGGTGAGATCCACTGGCATGGCTGCTTTGTTTCTCTGATCTTCAGCTTGAAACTTGAATACCAGTATCTGTCTCTGGGTCTTTATTTTTCATGCTATAGAATCCCAGAAGTACATCCCTGGAACAAAAGTGATCTTCACTGGAATTCACAAGGGAGGAAGGGCATACCTAATAATTTATCTTTTTAAAAAAATTATTATGTATACAGTGTTCTGCCTGCATTATGCCTGCAGGCCACTAGAAGTGTCCATGTGGTTGCTGGGAATTGAGCTCTGGGACCTTTGGAAGAGCATCCAAGGCTCTTAACTACCTAGCCATCTCTCCACCCCCTCCCCAGTAGCTTGTCTTAAAAAGGCTGCTAATGAGTAATTCCACTGCCTTCTTTATTACAAAGCAAATGTCTCATGGCTTTTAATGTGTACTGTAATTTAATTCATACACCAAAATTCAGATCATGAATGGCTAACAATGTTTTTGTTGGACAGTCCTGCTTTACGTAAAACTGACTTGTATAGTAAAGTGGATATGATCTTTTTTAAAATAACAATTCCAGTTTCATACATACTATCACTGTTCTCTCTCAAGATAAGATAGGACCTAACTAGTAATGTTCTACTTCCCACAAAGATGGGGCTGTCACCTCAAACCTATCGAATGGTTTTGTGCTTTAATTTATGGAACTGAGCATATAAATATGTTTAAGCACTGAGAAAATTCTGTCACCATCTCAGGGATGAGAAGACTCACCTGTGTTTCAGTTTGTGTTCACTAGCCTATTACAGACAGCAGCTAAATGTCAGGGAGCAACTGTCTGTTCTTGAAGATGTCATTTTAATTAGAATCCCTTGTGTCAATGGATGCTGCCTTTTACCACTGAAAGGCACCTACTGTGGTTTGTGTATGATATGAAATAGAGTGTTTAGCGCTTCCTTGTAGTTGATCTATATGTTGAAATGCTTTTAGAAGCCAGTAACTTAGACCTTACTTTTTTTAACTCTTAATTATCGAAGACTAAGTTGTAACTCAGAATTGTCCTTAAACAACATTCAGAAACACAAAACTGGAACATCTATCTATGCAATTGGTAGTGGCACTTTTTGCCAACTTATTAGATGGAAAGATTAAAATAAAAGATAGTTTGTAAGTTATCAATAGTAAGAAGATAGTTAAAAGCAATCAAAGATCATGCTGGGAGCATGTTTTATTTATACTGTATCAGCAATAATATTGGGGTTTGAGTCCCATATGGCTTTGGCAATCTAAAGCAACCAAGTGCAGATTGAATGGTATAAAATGAGACAAAATACTGAAACTATTGGCTACCAATGGAGAATTATTTGCTAGAAAAACTGAAATCAATAGAAACATCCCTTTATTTGTGAAGTCGCTTAGGGGAAGCCTTGTGATTAGGATTAAACATAGAAGATAAGCTATTTCAACTATAAGATAAGCAGCCTATGCTGCTTGAAGTCATATTTTCCCCTAGGAAAAGTTCAGTTGCATTGTTGTATACTATACATTAATTTATCTAAAATAATTTATGTAGCTACTACTGGTTTGTTTGGGGGTTTGGATTTTTGTTTGTTTGTTTGTTTGTTTTGGGGTTGTTTTTTGGTTTTTCGAGACAGGGTTTCTCTGTGTAACAGCCCTGGCTATCCTGGAACTCACTCTGTAGACCAGGCTAGCCTCAAACTCACAGAGATCTGCCTGCTTATGCCTCCCAAGAGCTGGGATTAAAGACTGTTGTGCCACTAGGCCCATCGGGGTGTAATTTTTTTAGTTTTATGTATATGAATGAGTGTTTTGCCTGCATGCATGTACTATACCACATGTATGCAGTTCTGGTAGAGGTCAGAAGAGGGCATCAGATCTCCAAGAAGAGCAGTAACACAGAGTTGTAAGCTGCTCTGTGGGTTCTGAGAATAGAACCCAGATCCTCTCCAAGAGGCAGTGAGTACAATTGCTGAGCCATCTCTCCAGCCCCATGTTTGTTGCTTATTTTTAAGGGAAATAATGTTTGAAAAATGTGAAGTCTTTGATCCTTAAGTCCTGGCCTGACTTGTAGAATATTTTCTGTGCATCTGTCTTGTGTTGGGGGGGGGGGGGTGTGTGCCTCCTATGGCACAGATGCTGGTGCAGAAATGCAGTTACTTTGTATCCCATGCTTCTTTTTAACACTCTGTGATTCTAAAATGAGTCTTGATTTCACACAAGAGCCAATGGTCAGAGAAGCTCACACAGGTTGCCTTTTACACTTGCCCTCTCACTGTCATCCTCTGAGGAAGACATGCTACCATAGGAGGCTTAGCTTTGTCATTTTCTAAGGCACTGTTTCCCATGTTGCATAGGACAGCCTTAAAGCAGAAAAATCACTGTTATTAGGGTTCGTTGAAATGCCAAAACTTGCAGTGATTTACTCTGAATTACAGCAGGTTATATTGCATCCAAGTGACATCTTTGTTCTTGAGCCTTCATACTCCAGTATGCTTTCTTTTTAAGATTTATTTTTATTATTTTTAACTATGTGTGTTTATTTGCCTGTGTGCATGTGCATGCCAGTGCCTGTGAAAGCCAGAGGAGCTAGAGTTACAGGTGGTTATGAGCCACCCTGTGTAGCTGCTGGGAACCAAGCCCAAGTCCTCGGCAAGGACAGCAAACACTTTAAATGCTGAGCCATCTCCCTTGGCCCTACTGTGCTTTATTGATTGAAGGAGAACAGAGGAATTACAGCCAGCAGACTCTTCGCGTGGATGTGTGTTTTATCTATGAGTGCCTATGCCATTGGTAAAATGCCGTATGGCATTGGTGGACCTCTTCTTGACCTGAAATGACATCCTCATGCCAGCACATTGCCACACACACCATTAGTACATTAGTTGACACGCGGCCAGAAAGAAGCAAGAGAGACGGCAAGACAGTGCACCTTCGGTCCACTTCATCTTAAGGAACTTGAGAATTTTACTCCTTAGTGTGTATTGCTATTTAACTGTTGTATATTGTTAGCTATGTCATTATACCATGACATAGCTAATTCTTATATTCTTAGATTTCTCACTTTTATCAAATTTAGAAACCAAAGCCATTAAAGTATCAAAAGGAAGCCAAATCAGATTTAATTGCATGGCAATGTAAACTTCTGGGAAATAGTTGTAAGTAGAGTTGACTTTTCAAAAGTATTTCATAGCCGATAATTCTTTTCAAGTTCAAAGTAAATAGATTTGAGGAATTTAGATTTTATCTGTCAAAGAAAAGTTCATGATGCATTAACCATTGATTTTTATGAAAAATTGTTCATTTCTTAGTCTATATGAAAACTAGGGACTTGGTCTATGTTTTTTTCAAGTGGCCAATATCTGATAAACCTTTTTTCTAAAAGTGGCATGTTGCAGTCATTACCTAGTCTAGGCTCAAACTTAGGATCCGCCTGCTTCAGCCTCCCAAGAAGGTGACATTATGTATGTACCAACATACCCTGCTTGGTCCACGTTTTGGTTGTTTGCTGTTATGTTGATCTCTTGAGTCAGGGAATCAGGGTGTAACCCAGAGTGATGTGTGTAGCCTCAAAGTCATTGTCCTTAACTCCTCATGTGTTGAGTTATAGACACTGGTATACTTGCGGTTTCGTTTTAAGACCTCTATAATAGTAGCCCCTTTGCCTGGTTTCCTAGAAGTCATTAAACTTGTATTAAGGAATTACTCCTGAGTTAATGTTTATAGCCTTTAAAACCTTTATGAGAGTCTTTGGTATATTTCTTTAAGATTAATTTAGCCAGGTGATGGTGGCCTTTAGTTTCAGCACTTGAGAGTCAGAGGCAGGTGGGTCTCTGTGAGTTCAAGGCCAGCCTGGTCTGCAGAGTGAGTTCCAAGACAGCCTGGAATACACAGAGAAACCATTGTGGGGTAGGGAGAGGAACAGGAAAAAAGATTAATTTAAATTTTAATGGTGTTTTTTTTTTTTTTCTTAAGGTATTATGAACTGGACCCTAACAAAAGTCTTTTAGATAATTTGAGGAGCAAAGTGATCATTGAATATCCAACTTTGCACGTGGTGTTGAAAGGATCTAGTAGTGGCATGCAGCTTCTTCACCAAGGTAATCATGTTTGTCTGTTCCCTTCCTAGAGAGACCAGCAGTTAAATGGATGCTTTTAAATGTGTTATATGTTTAAATGTGTTATACGGATGTCAAAGAATTTACAATGCACAGCAGCCAACACTGTAAAAAGTACCAAGTGAGCCAGTGCCATTTCCGCCCCACTGGAAAGTGACGCTCATGATGCTGCTTAGCTGGGTGGATCAAAGTGTCTTGCTCAAAAGGATGCTTTATTAGAATTGTCAAGATATAATTTCCTCTCTCCTGAAAACTATAGGTAAAGCTTTTTGTCGGGACCACTGGTCAGCTCTGTCCTGCCAGCTGACTCCCAAATAACCACACAGAGACTTAATATTAATTATAAATTAATTTTATATTATAATTATGTTGTTATTTTATTAATTATAATACTAATTATAAATGGTTGGACAATAGCTAGTTAGTAACAAGCTATCACAATTTAAATTAACCCTTATTTCTTATCTGTGATCTGCTATGTGGCAATACATTTTTTCAACAGGGCAAGTTCATCTTGTTTCTTTCCACATTTTCTTAAGACTACTGAGAGTCCTCCTTTTGTCCCAGCATTCTCTCTGCCCCAAAAATCCTGCCTGGCCATCCGCCAGTCAGCTCTTTATTAACCAATGAAAGTAATATATTTTTACAGTGAACAACAGAGTTATTCCACAACAGAAAACTCTAGTGATTCACGAAATGAGACATTGCTGTTTTTTTTAATTCTCCCTTCTAGCAAAGGATGCTGCCGGGGGACTGTGTTTAAAGTCTGGGCTGCATTTAGCTCAGCTTGCACACGGCTCTCTGGTTTCTTTCCTGCCACTTCTGTCTCTTTGCCATGTGAGAAGGTACTAGAACGTGGTAGTGGTGCTGTGTTCCAGCTGTTGGCCAGAGTAACCTGATTGTGTTGCATAACACAAGAGTCTGGGGCTTGGTTAAAGCCCAGTATTACTTCTAGATGACAGTTCAGCTGGGAAATGGTGCACACAGGCCGAACGGCCTTGCAGCAGACTGCACAGACTTCTGTGTGAGCCTGTATGTTTGGACAGCTTAGTCAGCATGTGTGGTTTACCTTCTGTTGCATGATGGGCAGTGGCCTGTTTGTAAGGTGTTTTCTCCATGTGTGCATATGTATGTCATTTTTTTCTTTCTTGGTAAAACTAATAAAATCTTCCAAGATATTTCCAGTGCCACATCTTGAAGCTAAGTTCTAATTAGCAGTTGTAGAATTTTTTAATAACAAGTTCTGAGTCTTCTATTTATTCTTTGTTTTTCACAATTTGAGGATATCCAATTTTCTCAAACTCAGTTTTTAGTAACACTTTTACTTTTTTAAAACTTTGTAAAAGCGCACTTTTTCTTCACCATGTTTAGCATAGTGTTAAGACTTGCAAAAGTTGGTCTCAGGGAAAGCTGCTGGGTGAGTTAGTAGCCAGGGCAAACATGGACTGTGTAAACAAACAGCACACAGCTCCTCTTTCACCTTGTTTAGGAATAACAGGTTCAGGCAGGGCTTCCTGGGATGAAGCCCTAAGAAAGGCTAATTCAGCCTGTACTGGAACCTCAAGTAGAATTTGTTGCTTTACTGTGGACTTATTTACAGGCACACACACAGTTGCCTCTTCTATGTAAATGGTTGTCTAGGAGTGCTGCATAGCACATCTGACAGAATTTGAGAATCCTAGGCTACCAGAGCAGTCACATCCTAAGTACACTCCCTCAACAGTAAGGGTGGCTCTGTGGGCATGCATTTCTTTTTCTTAGCACATCAGGGTGCTTGTCTCTTTGTACAGTCCTGTAGCATTGATATGCTGCAAGGTGGCTCTGTGATTGGAGGGGGGGGGTCTATAAAAACATCGCATTTTCTTTGGAAAGCATTGAAATGTTTGCTCTCTCCAAAGGTGTTTAAATAGAGTTCTTTTTTGGCAGCTGGGCCGGGGGGGGGGGGTGGGGGGTTCTGAAAAAATGTGGTTGTTACAGTGGTTGTAGACTGCCATCACTAAGTCCACCTTTGTTAATAGCCAGGGGGTATTTGCTTGTTTATTTGCCCTTCTCTTTTTAAGGAATGAAGAGGGTTAACTGTGCTAGGCAGGAAAAGAAAGTGCTG